CGTCACTACTATTATGATTATGACAGTATTTTGTACAACTTTTGCCTTACCTAGTATCTGTGACTTTTTCTTTGTGTCTTACTTAGTCCGTGGATTTCCCTAATATGTGTAGGTAAACATATTCCTGTGTTCATGGTGTTTATTCTCCTGGTTCCCAAAAAGTACTCTGGCTCCCTAACTAGCTAATACAATGTCCAGAGTTCCTACCCAGCCTTTAGACAATGCAACTAGCTGCACTACCTAACAGAATTTTTATGTTGTTTCACTTCCTGGTGTGGAGGTGCTATTCTGGGTAGACATGTCACATCACACCACACTGGCTCTCATATTCAGATCCTAACTTTTAGTATTTGTGTATGTATATAAGGATGCACAAGGAAGGATATAGACAATAAAAAAAAAAACAGGATAACATGGGAACAAGAGGTAATATGAAAGAAGGAAGCTAGTGGAGTGGGGAAACAGAATATAGGGGAGGAGGAAAGAGAAATGATGAAAATAAATAGTTTGAAAAATTCCATAATGTATGGTGATAAAAATAAATAAAGGAAAGGAAAAACTACTATGTCTTCAAGAGCAGCCTAGTATAGTAGAATATTCTAGTATACTAGAGCTGTTTGTAAAGGCTCCTCTGTTTCTAGTCCTTTCTTTTCCTTTAAATTCTAATTACCTTAGAAGTCAGACCTGTGCTGTTTGGAACACATTCGCTCGCATGGTTTAGTTACTTAGCCATTTTATTTCCTTATACATGCTGAGCTTCCAGGGACCAGAGACTATGCCTTATCTTTTATCATTGTTTTCAAGAGGATCTAGCATACATCTGTTCAACAAGCAAATATTAACATTGCCTTTACTGAGTTTAAGTAATGGTAGCATATTATTGTGATCTTATCACCAACAATCTTATTTATATAATGATGCACCTTTTTAACAATACATAATATATCATGATCTATATAGTATATAAACATTGATTATACAAAAATCACAAGAAGTAGTGTTTGAAGAAAACTATCTTTTAAGTGTAGCCTGATTTGACTTTTAATTTTGATTTTTTTTTAAATGAGGAAACTTGTGATCAAAGATATTAATATAGCAATCAGATATATAAATAATCCATCATATGAAAAGTTACGAAGCTAGCTGGTGGTTACATAAAAGCCACATAAAAACTTATTTAAAAGGAAAAAATAGAGATTAAATAAGAGAGCATCTCCATAATTTTTTGTCAATGTCTACATGTCTACAGAGAGAATAGTACCATTTACTTTTATTATTAGAGGAAAAAAAAAGTCTTTCTGGAGTTAAAAGTACTTTGGCAGAAATGAACTCATTTAACTTGTCTGATTCTCTGGGAAAAATTTTTGGAGAACACAGTAATTCTATGTTACAAATGAAGATATTGTCCAGAGGGTTAAAATTGGAAAGATACAAGACTGCTTACCAAAATTGGTGGTTAAAATCCAAGTCCCTCAACGTAAGCCTGTATTTGTCCACTGGGCAATATATCACATTTATAAGCACTGTCTGTTGTAAAAACTAAATTTTAGATTAAAAAATCTCACATCTTCCAAGTCAGTTCTCTACTGAACTGCTCAGAGCAGCAGACATAGGGAAGGGAAGAAAGAATCTGGACAACTCCATGTTCAAAGGATCTTGTTGCTTTGAACCATCTGATGATAGAGCATCAGAGCACAGACACTGGACCAGTTCCTTCCTCCTCTTTGTATAATCTGGAATAGTTACTAATTCTTTCTCTTGGATAAATTTTAAATTACTGTGGAGAGAAGAGTAATATAAAAGATGAGAACCAATGCTCAAATCCCCATTTGGTCCCCATGGGCTAGTCCAAGTAACCATCAAAAACCCCCTCTGAGAACCATTTAACTGCATTATGGCTAATCCATTTGGAACACCTTGTTCTAAGCAGAGGGGCAGAAGAGATTTGCTGTAAAATCCAGTTCAACTCCCAAGAAGACAACAGTGGATTAGGTGACCAGAGAGACTCCTTGGAGATTTCCAGGCTTGTGCTGTTTCTGAGTCATGTCTTTGGTCAAGGATAAAGTTGCCTTCATATAACATGGCTCATGCTTCAGCAATGTTTTTGCTCTAGGCAGATGGGCCATATGGAAACTATGAACTGGCCTCATAGACAGGATGTCAATGAGCCGATGAAACATTTTTATGCTTTCTGTTTTTATTCAAGTGCTTTAGTGAACAATATATTATCATGGAACATGGCATATTATGTGACTTTGTTTAAATTCTGAGTTGTTATTAATTTTACTGTTATGGATGTTTTTAGTAGAAGATGGTTTTTTTTATCAGAGAAAGTTTTTCATTTAACAAGGCTTAGTCTGTTTGGTATGCTAAATGTACTCCAATTCTTAAAAGAAGGCACTGCATGATTTTGATGTGTGAATCACATTACACTCTAAGAATGGGTGAGACCTAAAATCAGAGATTTTCATTCTAAAATGAAAGATAATAATAAAAATCTTAAAAAAAAAAATTCTAGCTACAACAAAACAGAAGGAAGGAAATGAAAACAAGGAACATAAAAGGAAAGGTAATTTTCCAAGAACTGGAAGACAAGTGTGATTCACCAGACAATTGTTTTGAGGGGTATAAAGTATTCATTCTAGGTTTGCTAATTCAATAATTACAAGAGATGTAAAACAAAACAAACAAACAAAAAGAAAACCTTTTCACTTTGAGATTTACCAAAAAGAAGGAAGCACTTTTTTTTTTTTTCATGGAGAGTACTTAAAATTTAATGAGAAACTGTGTGGGTGAGGAAAACTCATAGCTGTTGGCACAGTACCAAAATGGAACAGATGAACAGCACTCATGTGGTTGCGTGTTTTGTGTAGGATGTGGGAGGGCTGCAGAATAGGTGAAATTAATATGTGGAAAATAACTGCACTGGTTCCTTAGAGGTATTCAGAAACTATCGTATGTACTCATGCAGCCTATAAATCTTTGCGAAACCTATGATAAAGAATGATCATATTTCATCATTGTAATTAAAACACAGTGGTCTGAGATGCTTTTCTACAGAGGTAAAAATGCAAAGCACAGACAATACGGGGAGAGAACTGTTTTAAAGGGGGAAAACTGAAGGAAATATGTTTAAATGCTTCCTTTCAAGGAGATCTATGAAAACACAATGATAGTTTATGCCTAAGATCAGAGGAAAATCACAAGGTCTCCCAGTGTAATAAATGAACTTCACGTCTTATAGGTTGTAACTCTTTGCATCTGGTATTTTCTATGTGATAAAAGGTCTTTAGGAGGCCATAAAATATGCTCATCCCGTTCACCATGATAAATATGGGGGGTACATCTTGTGCTGTTTTTATAGCAATTCATCAGAACTGAAGGCTAAAACTGAAAACTGGTTGGCAGCAAACACCATTGAATAGTTTTTATGATTAAAACTAATCTTGACTTTAAAAGTATTTTCAAATAATATACACAGTGTGGTGTCATATGCTTATAAAATGAGTTGGTTTTCTTTATACTTGGCCATTTTTATTTTGCTTTAGAAACTTAATGAGACTCCTACATTAAAAACTCTACCAACCGAGGAACTGAGCTTAGAAGTCTATGCTTCACTCTAGGCATGATTTGCTTTTGTGGATGGTTGCCATTGATAAAACCATCTATACATCCTCCACAAAGTGTGCTCTCTTGGCACTACTGCCATTCAAGGAGCATATCTTCTTCTAATTTTAGAAAGAGGGTCTCACATTTCTCAGGCTGGCTTGGAACTCATGATAAAGCTTAAGAAGATTGGTCTAAACTTCTGGTCTTCCCTGTTTTCTCCCTAGTGTTGGGAATGGCATGTGCTGCCATTACCACTTCCAGTTTATATGTGGGGTGGGGGTGTACTTTGTGCATAGCAGGAAGGCATTCTCCCAGTGCAAGATATGAAACATCTTTTATCCATGACCAATTATGAGTCCATATAACCAATACAGAACAAATATCAATAGACTGAAAATGAATGACAAAATAAATACATGCATTTTAATTAATCATCCTATTGACTTTTTACTATAAATTTTAAATTTTTGTTGTACCAAAAACCCCATCCTGTTTCATATTGCTGGTGAATATAAATTCACCAGAGAGAATATAAATTTTATATTTCTTTTTGTTGTTGGGTTTCTTTTGGTTTTTGTTTTTCAAGACAGGGTTTCTCTGACTAGCCCTGACTGCCCTGGCATTCACTCTGTTGATGAGGCTGGCCTCAAACTCCAGAGTCCTAGGATTAAAGGTGTGTGCCACCACCACCCAACTTAATCTGTGCTCTGGGTCATTAGAAGGAAAGGGAAAATCTAGACATGTCTATAACAGTAGCACAGACCAAACACTGCTTTCTTATGACAAAGACAATGGTGCTATAAGACACCAAATGCATTTCTGAACACATGCACCTTATTTTTTTTAATGACTAGAAATAGCAACTTAGAGAGTTTCAAAAGATAATTATGGGGAAATAGCATCATCATTCTAACCTTTTGCCCTTCTGATTCCTCTATTTGACCTGTTCACTTTGCAGGTAAGCATTGGGATAAGAGAAGTGTTACCTCATAGCTCAAATTATTCATGGGGAAAGAAGTAGGGCTCCAATGTTACAGCCTAATACAATATGCACACATTTCTTTCAGCAGTTATTAAGGAAAACCATGAGGAAAGCAACATTATACAAATGAAAGCAAAAAAAAAATACAAAAACAAAAACAGAAATAAGCAAGCAAAAAACCAACCCAACAACAGCTGAAAATAAACAATACCCACAAACACTGAAAAGATTAAAACCAGTTCTGGACATAACAGAGATGATGAGAGATGGTGTAAATATTTCAACACCCTCCACAAATAAGTTGTCATTATTCAAACAGGATGCCACAAAATGGGGGAAAGAAGCAATGGAACATCATCTGGAACAAGCAGTTATAGATAGAAGCCACACAAAGGAATTCATTTCTTACTTGCACAAGTATCTTGAAGGATTTGACAGATCTTTCACCATGAAGCATTCACCACCATTCACACAGAAAGTTTTCTCCTTCTCAGCACACTTTACAAGATGGCTGGTCCCAGTCGTGGATGTAGACGTGGCTGGATAGGGAGAAAAAAAGAGGAGGGGAAAGTTTGACACTTTGTTCTGTAAAAAGAACCACCATTGTGATGAAATGAAATTCTGTCTCTAGCAAAGCTCAATGTGGTGGTATCAGATCCCATCAATGATAGGGATTTTTAGAAGCACTAACTGATAAAGTCATTTATTTTGGCAAATATATTTTATGTATATGCTCACACTGTGCATGTTAGACAGCTGACAATGAAAGTGTCTGGTTGCCAACAGTCTTTTGAAGAAAGAGAGACAGTTGGAGTTCTCTAGAAATGTACAATCTGTTGTAAGACTCATCTGTTTGGAACCTAGACTACAAACAAGTCATCCTTTGTTTTATCAGATCTTCATGTGGTAACTTGATGTTTACTTCTCCAACCTGACAGTCCTATGGTAGCAACGCTTAAGATGACCGTTGGACCACTGAGTATACACACTAAATGAAGCCAAATACCTAGTCCTGCAGCTCAAGAGCACTTAGCATCAGGGCCTCTCTCTCTTCCTTTCCACGGCTGTGAACACCATGGCTGGGCTTAGTGTCAATCAGTGTTCACCACTGATATCAATCAGCATAAAAAGCATCAAGTCAGTCAAGATTCTGTCTACTTTTTCAGGATGGCAATATATTATGGGATGAAATTTTCATCTTATCTACTGACTTATTCACATAGATTTTTTAAAATCCCCTGTCTCTTATCACTCCTAGTTTATTACTTGCGTGGGTCCAAGTTCCTCTGTACTTGACCCACCATGTATGGTTTTCTTCCCATTTTATTCTGCTTTAATTTTTCATTTGTTTCCAAATCACATTTTGTTATGATTTTTAACCAAATTTCTTCTACTTTTATTTTCATTCTTCCTAACCAGCATAGTCAACATCTTGATTATTCAGCTCAGATTTCCCCATACACTTTCTTGTTTCCTGCTCTCCTCCTGCCTACGGCACACTGGGGACCACAGCTTTCAGAAAAATGAACGGAGAATCAAAACCACTTAAACTTGGAAGGGTGGTCTCATTCAAATGCCTTCTACAAACTTTAGTCCTGACTCTCCTAAATTTCTCATTCAGAAAACAGGGGTGATGTCAACCACAGAAAAATTTTACACAGATTATATGCATTCTAGGTAAAGAATTCATGGGTGAGTGGGAAAAATTGCAGTTTTCTTATTTAGCAACTAGAATTTAGAAACAACAACAACAACAAAATTGACAAAGGGGCTAGAAGCATAGCTCTATTGTATAGCATTTGCTTGGATTTGTAAGACCCTGGCTTCCACTTGTAACACTGAAAGAAAAAGTTTAACATTGGAAATCTGGGGACGTCAATGATATGTGCTGCTACCTTATATCATTGCTGTGAATAATTAGGAATTAGGTCAACCAATTAATTTTTGTGGTGTGGAGAGTTAACCCAGGGACTTCCGCATGGTAGGTAGGTAGCATTGAGCTACATCATTTCTGACCAAAGTCATTTTTTTACTTATTTCAAGAAAAGGCCTTTTCAAATATCACTAAAGGTATTCTTTAGAATTTAGAACCAAACCAAAGCTTGGTGATTATCCATCTACTGTTGGCTATGTTAGCAGAATCTTTATTACAATAAGAGAAATGAAATTTGCACCATTTGGGTCATAAAATCATGGCAGAGAACATATCTATACACCTCACAGCATATTCTTTTAACCAAACAATATGAGTTCATGTGAAAAACTGTCTATGCATGTATATTAATTTTGAATCCATTGCAATTGTCTTTAATTGATGAGGAAAAAGGTTGCTTTAACTCAGTTGCTGACAGCATTCCACTTAATAACAAATTTGGCTGGGTGTTCTTCCTGCCCCTATACAACAGGAAGAGTATGTACCACCCTCAGTGAGCCGTCACCATACTTTCCTGTACAAGGGTGCTGATCCATGAACAGTCCCCAGTGGTGTCTAAATGCCTGACATGTTGCTAAAGAAGCCCTTTGCCCCACTTCAATAGCTTCCTTTGAAGGCTCTTTCAGAATAAATCCTATGGCATTTACTAAAACCAAACCCCACATACTCCACAAATGGATATAATTCTACATAAATTACAAATGAACAATAAAAATAGGTCATGATATAAACCAAAGACAGATATATCACCCCTATTATGTGGACTTGCTGATCTTATGGGATTATCAAAATAACTAAGACTAATAAATGCACATTAAAACAAAATAAAACAAAATACCTTTTGACTCTTAAAAACATTTCTCCCTGAAGTGATTTTTCTTTTATAATACAATCTCAATGTGTCCAGCCCTGACACAATCCACTGGAAAAACTTCTTAGATCATTACTTAATGGGAGTAATGAGACATTTGATAGAAGCTAATTTCTGGAAATGAGGTAGCAGCTATCTCACATTCCTAGCTATTGTGCTTAACACTTTTATCCACAGCAGCCCTGAATTGTAAAGCAGCAATTAAGTCCCAAGTGATATGCAGTGTCAACTGACTAGCTACAGCTGCTCTGAAGCAATGGCTAAACTCTACACCAAGCTACAATTGTCAGAAGAGCTTGCCAGAGAGACAGTGCTATGCACACTCTTTGGATTTTTGTCATCTTTTCTCTTCTTCTTGCTTGAATACAGTATGCTGTCAATCTGCCATTTGGCTTCTACACATATATTGCTAGGTCACATTCTGTTTGTTAATGCTGCCAAAAACCAATGAAGTAGACCAAACAGGACTTACACGTCATGTCACATAACAGCCTTCTCTTTGAGGGAGCTGGATGGAAAAACTAAGGACTGCAGAGAGAATGGATTTCAATACACAAATGGTGTTCTGCACAGGTGAGCTAGATTCAACTTAATGCTGATTGCACCCATCTACCTCAGCTTTGTGAGCAGTTTGTCATAATTTGGGTTAGTTTTTACTTAGTGTTATGAATGACAATTAAGAACAAAACTGTCTCGGCTAGCCCACGCACCTCTATAATCACAGCTGTAGGGTGGATGAAATGGTAACAATAGGAAATGAAGACCAATTTGAGCTACAGAATGAGACTGTCTGAACAAACGAACATGGGTAAGGAGGACTTGATGATTCTTATGTTGATCCTGGCTATGAATGCGTTAATGCACGTGCACTTTCCATGGTAAGTTAGCAAATTACATGCAAGGAGAAAAAGCATGAGTAAGGTAGTAACGTATTGCCAGAGAATGTATCTACTATGGCAATATAGGTCAGGGATACTAATCATTGCCAAGGAAGCTAGACATTTCTGTGCCTTAACAATAGGATTTGGAAACCAAAACTAGTATTTAAGACTAGGAAAGTCCTTGTCATATGATTAGATTCCTTTCTCTTCCCCTCTCCATTCTGTTCTGAGTCTGTGCTTTCAGACTTCACTGACTGCCCATCACATGTACAGATAAGTGTCCTAACTAAAGTTGACCTTGGCAAGTGACCCTTAAAAGGAAGCTATTTAGGTAAGCTGCTGAGCAATGAATACTGCCACTATTAATGTGGAGAAGCATCAACCCAGACCTCAACAGTGCCAATGACTGGCAGATTCCTACCCAGAGGGCTGTTCAGTTAAACTCAACAGCAAAAGCAAGATGGAGGGGGCTACTGTGAAGTTTGCTACATGATATTTTTCTGCTGTAGTACTGCATCCAGATGAGTGTCACTGACCCAGCACTGATGCATAAACACTGGACAAAGGAAAACAAAAAATAATGTCTGTCCACATTGGAATTCCATTGTTTCTTTGGGAATGTGATGGGAGAAGGCCTCATTTGCAATAGAAGTCAATGAATAATGGCAAGGCATTCAGTAAACACAGACAGCCTTTCTATTGCAAATGTTTGCCAAGAATTCAGAATCCATTAATTTGTTTACATAATAAAACTGATGAATGAGTTCAGAGAAAAAATTAATCTCTTTTCAATATGATTATCTTCCATATTCAGTATTCACACGAATCCGTCATGCTTCTGCCTGAAGTTCCACACTACAAAAACTAAATACACTTACACTATCACAACTTAGTATAATCATTTAAATACTATAAACTATTTTACTTTACTTTAAAACAAGGTCTCATTACATTGTCCAGGTTAACTCAGAATTCTGAATCCTTCTGCCTCAGCCTTGTCAGTAGGTGAGTGCCATGGCCTGAGCTTTACAGTAGTATAATTAATGTCCATATAATATGAAACACAAAATACATTTTATTTGTAACACAAGTTTTGAGCATTACACTACCACCTACTTTTGCAAACATGCTGATCAACATCGGAATAACAATTTGGCATTTTCTGCTCCATACTAAGTGATTTCTTCTCAGAATCACACAGAGTAGCTCAAGCTAAAACAAAAGTAATGCTGGGTGGATGGGTCCCTCTCTCCCTGGTTTAAAACACTGTTCTTTTTGTTAGTAAAGCAGAGTGACAGCAGCAATAGATTAGGACCATGGCACAAATGCACACCCCTGGTAAAATGTCAGGGCAGCTTCCTTGGACAATTAACATGAATCAGGAGTAACAGTTGGTAAGAGCAGTCATGAGAGCCTGTCCTTCCTGAGTGACAGTGTGGTCAAGACACCTTTTACTTGTGGAGACTTAAGTAAACATGAGGTTTTCTCAATGAAATATATAAAGCTATTTTTTAACATTCATATATGAAGCACGCAAACTACAAAAATAAAAGTTTTGAACCTTACCTGTATCTTCAACGTTTATATATTTAGAAATCTGACTGCTTTTTCCATCTTCCATATCTTGTTAGTTTGGTTGTTGTTGTTGGTTTTTTTTTAAGCCCCAAGCCCTCCAAATTATTATCCTTGTGCAGAATGACACAGAGCTCCTCTACTGGAAGCACCCTGCACTGCTAGAAACTGCTTAGCTGTCTCTTGAAGGTGAAACACTTCTGAGCAGAAGCCAAACAGGAAGAGCTATGCTACCCTGCCAACGTGGTTTCTCTCTATAGTAGGGGTATGGTGAGAGCAGTC